TGGCCTGCCAACGAGGATACTTGGCAAGTTTTTGGCCAATAAGAGATCCCTGTGCCCCAAAACAAAAACAAACAAATGGTGGTCAGCGCCTAAGAAATGGAATCTAAGACTGCCTTCTGGCTTCCACACATATGCACATCTGTGCACATACACAAAACCGAACACAGAAATCAAAGATAAAAATCCAAACACGCACCCTGTTTGAATAAGAGAACCTGTGTCGTTGTTAGAATGAGGGACATATCAATAATTCAGATGTCTTAGTGAATTAGTGAATGATGAAGGGGCATAAATGCCGTGATTATACATTATACGGTGGATTATGAGCCAACAAAGTGATTCAGAAGCTGTGGAAAGGATTTCACCATGAGGTAAGAGACTAATGTGAACTGTGCTTCTGAATGGCACCATTAACTTGGTTACCTTGTCAATCAGCATCTGCAAGATAATGAAGACAGTGACAAAGAAATGACGGTAATCATGATGTGCAGATAAAGGAGCTCAAAGTTAAGCAAAAAAACTCGCCACCACCATGGGGTGTCTCTTACTCCTGAAGCACACAAATACAATTTGCATAATGACACAAAGACAGAGGTATGATACCAATGACATTAGCACTGAGGCACTAAGGCCAAAGAGAACACTCTTTGCCAAGAAACTGGGAACTTCTTGATACCACCCAGCAAACCCCTCTTCTAGCATTCAGTGTCATCAAACTGAGTCACAAGTGAAAAAATGAAAACCTACTTTGCGAACGCTTTTTTTCCCCCCTTAGTTCTGAATGTCCTCCCATCCCCCGCTCCCAAGCCTCAGGGACTGTTTGCCACTCCCCCTGCAGCTCCCCGCTAAAAGCTCTGGGTATGTCAAGCTTTTGTTGTTTTGGTCCTCAGTTTTGGTTGGTTAGTGGGTTGATTAGGTGGTGGCGGTACTATAACCACATCACTGACCAGAGAAAACGTCTCACATGGCTTAGAAAACCGGCGACCCCTCCAGTGAGTCACAAAAGCAGCCAGGTGTCATTTCTCCCCAAGTTTGACTAAACTCTCAACAGAAAACTGCCAAGCTCTGCGAGTAGATTTCTTAAAGAAAAAGGCAAACTGTATTTTAACTGAGATGAAAGGAGAAAGGGAATTATCCTTGGCAATCTCCTGCTGTGAAGAAATTGTCCTCTGCAGGAGTTAAGTGCCTTCTAATCTCCAGACAAGTGAACCCTGTGTCCCCACCAATGTCTGTACTAGTGAACAAAAAGAACAATGGCCTTAGATGATAAAGCACAAATGAAATTTTCTTCTGGGGTGTTGGTGGCATGATTTTTTTTTTCACTTTGATAAAGGTCAGCACACTGCGTACAAGAAATCACTTGAAGGAAGATAGCCACACAAGACAAATGTCAAATGGTAATCACAGGGAATTGCTTCACTCGTCAAAATAGAAAAGAAAAGGGGGGTGAAGCATTGAAAAGGAGAGTCCGTATCTAAGGAGGGAAGGCAATGAGCCCCACCCCCACCCCACAGAGTTCGTATCTCATGGAAGGAAGGCAATGGGAACCCCCCCCCCAGCAAAAGTCTGCATGCGTCCTCTTCACAGTTACAATCACAGATTCGTTTCTTCTGATCTGTCTGCGGCAATGACTCATTCTGTTTCTTGGAATTGATCAATCGATGTTAATTTTAACAGTCCTTGCTGTTAAAGTCCTTGCTGGGTGGGTTGCCTTGAAAAGGGGGCAGGGAGGAGAGGGCTAGAAGAGTGTATTAAGAACATGGTAGTGAACCAGCTTCTTAGCAAATTCCATTCTTTGGAAGTAGCTATCAAAGTTACATCAATTGACAAAACACCAGGTCTGATTTTAACAGTCGGAAAAGCTCGCCAGAGTGCCGTGGAAGCTATGCAAACGTAGCAGTCTGCTGATTACACTGCATTCTTCGCTGCTCATCTTTTTTTATCTCACTTTCCCAAGCCCAGCCTCAGAGCGACACTTAACCGTGAGAAGTTAATTATTTCTTTCTGTGCATCTACCGCAGAGGAAATCATTTGCCAAAGACTGGGCAAAGATAAAGTTTTTAATTACTTTGCTTCGTAGATATGACTTTTTATTAAATGCCAATCATATTCTGTGCCTCTCTACGGAAAAGTTCTGAGGGGAATAAATGCAGCGTTATTGGAGAAATCATTCATGTCCAAACTGGCCACTTTGACATACTTTATCTGCTAAGATTTGGAGAAAAGTGAAAAGAAATGCTCTCATGAAAAAGTAAACAGATATTTCCTGATTTTAGTCTCTACACAACATGGGCAGTTTGCTGAAAACATTGGCTAGAAAATATACATGACCAATGATATATTTTATCTACGAACTCCTACCATCAATCACAAAGTATTTAGCTCTCAGAAACTTGCAGCTATGACCTGGACTCAAATTCCCAAGTCCAACAAAACCCTGTCTTTTCAGATCTTAGTAGCACCATTGTCCAATATGCGTACAAAACACACAACTTTAGTGGAGGAAGTGTCCAAGGTACAGCTTCCTAACTCTTCCGGTGTCCTGCTTCTTGAACTGAATATCCTGCTTCTTTAGTTGAACCATAAAGAACTTTCTGCTGCATCACCCAAACCACGAGAATTGGATTAGATGTAACATCATCAAGTAAGTATATTAATCTATGCTGTGAACCAATGAGTCAAAATTATTAAATTAGTGAAAATAAAGACCTGCCTACACACACACAAAGATACACACACACACACGTGCGGTCCAATGCAGGTATCATGGCAGTTTCTTATATTTCTAGGAAGATCAAGGACAAATGACTTTTTTTTTTTTAAGACAGCATCTCATGTAGCCCAGGTTACCCTCATACTTGTTATGTAACCAAGGATGTCCTTGATCATTCTGATCCTCCTGCCTCCACTGGATTATAAGAGTGTGCTACCACTGCCACGCCTGGTTGATGCTGTGCTGGATCAAACCCAGGAGTTCGTGTGTGCTAGACAAGTACTTACCAACTGCATTACATCTCTAGCCCAAGACCAGGGAATTCCTTATGTGTAATTTCTTTGTGTGAGGTGGTAAACATGAAGAGAGAAACAAAAAGTATATGGAAAGGCTTTGCACCATTTTTCATGTGTCATACGTGTTTGTTGTAATTATCTTCCTTCAAAAAAAAATCTTCCTTCTCAAGCTTTCTTTCTGGAAGAGGCATTTCAAAAATGTACTCTCTACCTTCACCTCATCCTACTTTTTTAGTGGACACCTGGCATCAAATCCTAAGAGTTGGTAGGAAAAGGAACTGGTGTCTATAAAGTAAAATGCACATTAAGGTAAATAAAACCAATGGTCTACATAGTGAACTCCCTAACTCTTTTTAGCTATCCCCATAGTAGAGGTTCTAAAGGAAGAAAAGTACAAAGTTTTGAGTCCAACCAAAATAGTTTCTGAAGAAAATAAATGAGTTTATGGCAGAATGTTGTCCACAGAAGACATCAGAAATGCATTTTGTGTACAATTAGCAATGTTGAAAACTTTCAGTCAGGGGAAGGCTTTACCCTAATAAACTAAGGTGTCCTAACTATTTCTGTAAAAGAAATTTGAGACCCCTTAAACATGAAGCACAGAAACCCTTTCAAAATAAGTTTTAAAGATTCTTTAGCTCTAAATGTATGCTGCCAGGTACTGGGGCATGACTTACCACCAGGCCATGTCTTTCCATTCCAGCTGCACTTTTTATAAATATATAAAATCTGTGGTCACCAGCACACCAAGGAACAAAAGTAAGTGGGCATCTACAGGTAACTATTCTGTTTCTGCAAATTAGGAAATGATGCTTTTTGGAGTGAGCACTCATGGAATTTAAAAATAACACCAATAATGAGGTCTGCAATGTCAAAACAAGTGAGAAGGAAAATGAAAACGCTGGCTTCACAATGCATCTTTCTGAGTGAAATGTCATAATCTAAGTATATCCATGGACTCCTTTTTATCCAGTTTCCAAACTGGGTGAAACCCTGTCCTATTCCAGCAGTTAAAATAGCTATCTTTTTCTCTTAGGAACTATGGTTTGTGGAGACAATTTAACACTGAATTGATATGAGTCTGAAAATAATACAAATCTTATCAGGCTAGCTGGAAGAGCACTACGGTCAAGCGCACAGGCTCCTGAGTCAGACGAAGGTGCTCTGAAATCTGGGACCTGCATCCTCTGCAGGAGCTATTGAACACTCTGCAGTAGAAAGTATTCATCAGATGATCTCCCCATCTGGAAAGGGAGTGTAAGAAGATAAGCCCCTCCTGGTTGTGAAAACTAAATGCTGTTCAGAATAAGAGCTTTCTAACCGATAGCCATATAGCCTGCTTGCCATTGTTATTGGGGGCTTGAAGGATTTTAACCTAAGTAAACATATTCCAATGATCAGCAAAAGGAAACTTGCTAGCATCTGTGCCTACTGCCGGATTGTTCTTGGCACGCGCTGAATTCAGGTAGGCACAGTACCGAAATGAACACATGCTTACCGGCCAAGCACCGGTGACCTAAACCTTTCACACTGATTGTTTCATTTTATCTCACAATGAAATTGAGGCAATATTTATTAAGGTTCCCATTTTACAGAGATTTAGGTAGTTTAAACTCTCACCAAAACTCCACTAGAATCTGAGATATGAGCCCGGGCAACCTAACCCAGAGTCTTTAGAACTTACCTAAGTACCTACTTACCACAGGTTTTCTAGGATTTAAAAAATAAAATCCTGACTATAAGATAAAAAGTTCTTGAGACATTATCAACTATCTGTTAAATAAAATGATGTTTCTTCCCAAAAGACTTTTTTATTAAAGCACTCTATGGTGTATTATAAGAATTAGTTTCTAAATAGTAGTTTGTCGTATTAGAGCAAAACATTAAATGTGTTCAAAATTTGCAGGTCACTAGAGTTTTCGAATAAGCCCTGCTGATCACAGAAACACAAATGAAAATCCTAGGGAAGAAATGAGATCAAAATTGTTTACCTGCTACTTGAACTGAGGAGAAGAAGTTGAGAGCCAAGAAGAGCAGCCCAGGTGTCATTGTCCTAATGAGGGTCAGGGCTGCCACCCCTCCCTCACAAGGCAGAGCGTGCTGTGAACTGAAGTCACACAGGCACATGATGAAGTACAGGCACATGATCAAGGGACTCCAGCCACAAGGCTTCCTGACTTTCACACAGGATATTGCCTTGTTTTTGATGACTAGACTTTTACATCTTTTAGTGACACTTTTTTTTTTTCTGTCACTGAAAAGAATGTCAATCACCAGAGAATGTGCTGAGAAGAGTAATTCACTGATAAGTATCAGCGCTGGGAAAGGTGGGTGCTCAGGGTCCAGCAATGGCAAGAGCAGACAAGCAAGGCATTCTGAAGAAGAGAAAGAACCATCTCACAGAAGAGGGATTCTCACAGGGAGTGACAGACTGTCCAAAATACAAGGTTGTGTGGGGGGTTGTGAGATTTCTACGTAAGTGTTCAAATTCTACATAAATGTTTTGAAATTGATGTTTGTAATAGTCTTAAGGTAATCCTATGGAATGTATGTATAACTCACTTCTACAAACTTTGCAAAATGCATCCAAGCACCGGCTTGGCAAGTGTCCAGGCATCTGAGTGTCTGCGAGAGTTTCCAATGCAAAGAGGAAGTCATAAAAACACCATATTTTCTTAGGGAAACAGGAAAGCAACCGAAATCCTCTGGCTACTTCATGTTCTCTATGTCTCTCAAAGAATCATTTAAAAAGCAGATCATTGGAAGATGCTCTATGGAGACATCCCGGGATCTCTTTATCCAGCCCTCCACCCCTCTCCTCAACTCTTGGGCCTTCCGTACATAGTGCTAGCACACCACCACGGCCAAGCCCATATTCCTCTTCTGGATCTTTCCTTGACCCCCCCTCCCCCAGGTCAGCATCTGTACTCAACTGCTTTCCCAATATGGCTTTTATATAAGCTATAAGCATCCTCATTTGTGTGTATCAACTGTAGTAGCACACTAAAATTTCCTCCTTTTCTCTAACTGTGGCTTAGACCCCATTGTTCAAGCTTTCTTTCCTCTTACCTCCCCAACTTTTGGTAACCACTGTTCTACTCTTATTATTTTTACACAGGGTCTTTACAAGTAACCCAGGTTGGCCTCAAACTTGTACTACTCTTGACACAACCCCTTGAATGCTAGTATATAGATGTGGACCACAATACCTCATTCTATTATCTAGTTCTAGGCAATCAATGTTTTTTTTTCTTTAATCCACAGTTGTAAGAAATTATGTGGTACTTGTCTTTCTGTGGCCAACTTCTCTCTCAATGGCAGCCTACAGAATAGGAAAAGATTCTCACTAACTCCACACCTGACAGAGGGCTAATATAAAAAATATATATACAAAGAACCCAAGAAACTAGACATCAACAAACTAAATAATCCAATTTTAAAATTGGGTACTTAAGCATTGAACACATAAAGAAATGTTCAACGTCCTCAGCTGTCAGGGAAATGCAAATCAAAACAACTTTGAGATTCCATATTTATGGAATGGATAAAATGAAAAACACAAGTGACAACTCATGCTGGAGTGGATATGAAGCAAGGGGAACACTCCTCCATTTTTGGTAGGAGTGCAAACTTACACAGTCACTTTGGAAATCAATATGGCAGTTTCTCAGAAAACTGGGACTCTGTCTACCATTAAGACCCAGCCATGTCACTCCTGGGCATATACTTAACGATGCTCTAACCCGGACACTTATCCAACTATGTTTGTAGCAGGTTTATTCATAATAGCAAGAAACTGGAAACAACCTAGATATCCTTCAACCAAAGAGTGGATTTTTTTTATGTTTATTAAACGAATATGTTTATTAAATCAGTTAACATTAGTTAACTAACTGCTGCAGCTATACATATATCCAAAAATAAACAAACAAAAACTTCTGACCCCAGTCTTAAATTCTTTTCTAAATTTCAGAAATTTTCACTTGTGAACAGAATTATAACTTCCTTCCCTAATTGAAACCATTGTCAACCACACTGTCAGCATTTCTAGGATTATTTATTCTGGGAGACTGTGGAGATTTATAAATTTGGCCATTTGATATGCTAAGTAGTTACAGATGATCAAAACTAATTATTGTTGCTTTTACCCCATCACCTATGTCTGTGAAGGGAAATCGTTACTGGATTGACTTGTTTACTAAACAAGATGATACACTCGTGATAGAAATGCACCATAACTGAAAGTCTTTCTTTTGAACAAAAGACAGAGCAATATGGCATCTCCAGAACCCAGTTATCCAGGGGCAAGTAGCCCTGGACACCCCAGCATAACTGAAATTCAAGAAGATGACCTAACATCCATGTTATCCTCCTGAGAAGAGGATAACAGAGGAAACAAATAAAATGCGTAAAGACCTAGAGGATTTTTTTTTAATGTGGCACATTTACACAGTGGAATATTATTCAGCTGTTTAAAAAACTGACATCATGAAATTTCCTGGCAAATGGACGGAACTAGAAAAAAAAATCATCCTGATTGAGGTAGCCCGGACCCAGAAAGCCAAACATAGTATGTACTCACTTACAAGTGGATATTATCTATAAAGGATAAACACGCTACCATCCACAGACCCAGAGAGGCCAAGTAACAAGGAAGCCTTAAAGATCTTCCTGGGCAGGAGAAATAGAATACATTTCTAGGGTGGACTGCTGTTGGTGGGGATGGGAACAGGAGGAAGGGGGGATGGAGGGACAGTGTACTGGGAAACACTAGAATTTCTGGAGCAAGGTAGAAACCTAATGCAATGGAAATGCCATGGGCTCTATGAGGGTGACACTAGCAAAGTCTCCTAGTAATGGGGACACGGAGGCTGCCGCCATCCTGTCCCCAGGCAAGGCCTCAAATGCAGGGATTAGGACAACAAAACCTCTGACCTACAGTTTGTCATGCCTGTATGATGTGCTGTGGCTTCATCCTAGCATAATGGCCAGTAGAGAGAGCAGAGAAACTTCATCCAGCAACCGATGGGAGCAGGTACAGAGTCCCACAGCCAGATGTTAGGCAGAGCTCAGGGAGTCCTGCAGAGGAGGAGGAAGGATCAGAGGAGCCAGACGGGTCAAGGACACAATAATATGGCCCACAGAATCATCTGGCCAGGACTCCAGTCGGCTCACAGAGATCAGGGAGCCTGTACGGATCTGACCTAGGTCCTCTGTATATATGTTATGGTTGGGTAGCTTGTTTCTTGTGGGACTCCTAACATTGATATCGGGGGCTGTCTCTGGCTCTTCTGCCTGCCTTTGGGACCCTTTTCCTGCTACTGGGTTACCTCACTGAGCCTTGATGTGAGAATATGTGCCTGGTCTAACTCTAGCTTGTTATGCCATACTTGGTTGATGTCCCTGAAAGAAAGGCCTGCCCTCTCCTGAGGGGAGGCTAAGGGGGGTGGATATGGGAAAAGGAGAAGTGGGGAGGAGAGACTGAGGAGGGGAGGGTGGGGAGAGGAACTGCAGTCAGGCTGTGATTTATGAGAAGAGAATAAATAAAAAGAAAAACTTCTAAAAAAAAAAAAAAAAAAAAGCTCTAAATTGCTGAGGCAATCTCTTTGGTCCCCCAGTGTACTTGACATTTATCAATGGATCGGTCGAAATGGGTTTTCTTTCTTTAGAATAATAATAATAAAATAAACAAGCTGACATTTGTTCCTTTCCCTTTCAAAAATACATATAATACTGAGAAAAAAAAAAAAAAACGTTCTGTGGCCCTATTACCCTGAACTCATAGGAGCTCTTTAAAAAAAAAAACTATTTTATTTGTCATTTTCACATTTGCTCTTGAGATTCAACACCACTTATGTAATCCTAAAAAGCAGAAATGAGAGAAACGAGATAAGGAATCTTGAACCCACCCATCAGTGCACAAAGGCACCTTGTAACACGTGTGAAAGCAGTATGTACCACTATACGTGTCTATGTAAGAGTCGTGCACCAGAACGACAACAACGTCTGTGCGCCACTGACTTTACATTCCTGGTGTTCATCTGATATCCAGCCCCTGAGAAAGATGCTCCATCTCCATTTGCAGAAGAGAAAGCTGATCCCAGTGGGGATCAAGAAGACTCAAAAAACAGTGGGGCCAAGCCTAGAGTCTAGACGTTTCTAACTTTCCTTGCTATATCGCATAACCAAATCACGATGCTATACTGACTCTCTAAGTGCTAGCTTTCTCCGATTATCGAATATTTCTTCAGGACAATGAAGAAAAGTAATAATTTATAACATCCTTCAGCTGACAGCTAACACCAGTCATTCAGGTAGGGGAGGATGGTCCTAATGGCACTTGAAGACGTCAGCAAAATGTATCAGTATTGCACTGAAACAGCCTCAGCCTACACATTCTTGAAAATTAAGGACGTAAAGCTTGTGGTGAAATAAACCACCTTAATCAAATCCAGTCCAAAAAGCACGGCCTTTTCTGCGCAATGTGTCTGTCTGAGTGAGCCATGTTCACTCGTCCAAGTGCAGAGTAAACAGGACCTCTTCAGTCATGCCTTCTCCAGCCAACACACACGCAGCCATGCACGAGGCACACACGCACACCTCATCACGTGTATGACCTCTATCACGCTACTACAGCGCCATGGGATCCCGCAAAGCGCTGGCAGCTTGCTACATGCTGTTATGTGTCTAATGCCTCTCCAGCACCACGTAAGGATGAGGACAGACCTCACATCTCACCTGCACCCCTATGTCTAGCACTCAGCGGATGCTCACCAAGACACTGAGTGAAGGAATAAGAGGCACGAAACACCCCACATCACTCCCTCGACCTTCCAGCCAATGTGGCGGCAATTGTGGACATCCCCGACTGGTACGCTGAGCAGGGAAGTCTTTACCCCGACTGCGTTCTCAAACACAAGACACTAAGACACTGTGCGAAACACACCTTATCTCTAGCTACGACCTCTGCATAGGATTCCTGTCTGGTCCTCTACCCCGTGATGGGCTTCATTCAGAACAGTAGGAGTCTCAAAGACCCGCTTCCTTCATAGATCATTTGTCCTACAGTCAA